TAGGGTTTAGGGTTTATACGGGTTTACGGTTGATAAGGGTTTGGGGTTTAGGCTTTAGGGTTTATTAGGGTTTATGGTTTATGAGGGCTTAGGTTTTAGAAGGGTTCAGGGTTTAGGGTTTATCAGGGTTTAGGGCTTGTGTTCAGGGCCGTAACAAGGAATAGATTTGGGTAGATCTCTAAACGGGGCCCCGTTTAGGGTGCCTTGTATAATATTGGGGACGCAAAAGGGACCCTACTTGAGAGAACTACCCAAATGAAATCACAGTAGGAAGTCCGATGGAGTTTTCCCTAAGCCCTAAACCCTTAGTCCCATTTGTATTCCTTCAAACAGGGGTATTGGGCTTATTCGGGAGGGGTCAGTTGAGAACTTCACCCAATCTCGCGGCGAGCCAAATCCCACCTTGAAGACCTTTAGGTTTTTGGGTTTAGGGTTTAGGGTTAAGGTTTTGGGTTTTAGAAAAGTGCAAACCGTTCTTCTGGGGACAACAAAACCTGAGCACCCGCATCCTAGACTAGTACGGGCACCACCTTACCCTCTAAACCCTAAACCCCCTAAACCCTAAACCCTAAACCCTAAGCCCCTATACCTCTACTGCTGATTTCTAACATCCTGAGAGCCTTAAGGAGTCTCAAGCCCAGAACCCTGAAGCCCCCTTAACCCTGAACCCGAAACCCCTAGTTTAGGGTTTAGGGTTTAGGTTTTAGGGTTTAGGGTTTAGGGTTTAGGGTTTAGGGTTTAGGGTTTAGGGTTTAGGGAGACCTCTAAACCCGAAACCCCGAAACCCTCAGGCCAAAAAGGGCCTGCAGATTCGAAGATTTCGTGCAGATAGCGCAACGCACCAAGCCCTGAACGACAGAGATCTCTTGTTTCTTCTAGCTTGGGGTAGAGAAGCTGAAACCTAGGACTTTTTGTCATTCGGGGTTTTGGGCTTTGCAGTCTATGGCACCGTGTGTAAACCCTAGACATCACACACCATGATCTACATCATCAGTCCATCAGGCTTTTGTATGTGGGTAGTTCTCTAAATTAGGGTCGTTTTTGGGGCCCCCCCCAAAATAGTACGGCACCGTTACAAACAAGTCTACAAGCGACCCTAATGTAGAGAACTGCCCATGGAGATTTCCCGAAACAGAAATAGACCCGAACTCCTAAGGCTTGCGTCGCAGTCCTGAGACGCAGCACTTCCAAAACCCCCTAAACCCTAGCCGCCCCAAAAAAACAAACAAAAAGCGACTCTACACCCTGAATCCTGAGGTCGTTTTGCACCGGACGCTGTCCTAAGATTGCTTACATTCTTAACAATCAAAGCAGCAGACCATGCTTTAGAATGCTCTCATAAATGAAGGGGTGATTTCATCAGGCCCAAACTTTAACGTGCCGCGATCCTCCAAATCTAAGCCGGGGCGCCAAGAGACTCAAATTTAGATCTTTATCTGAAGCTTCATACGGGCTTCGTGAGATGCGCATACCCTTCAGGGTTTAAGTTTAGGTTAACCCCCACAAAACCCTAAACCCTGAACCCTACAGTCCAACGAAAGTCCCTAAACCCCAGGCCCTGAAGAGGAAACTGTAGACCCTAAACCCTAAACCCTAAACCCCAAACAAAAGCAAGGTACGCCTGCGACCATGGACCGAACCGGAGAGGGAATGGCTGTGGGGCATCGCACGGGCGCCGCGGTCAATCTTGGAAGCTGCTGTGAGGTTTAGGGCTTAGGATTTAGGG